TTGGTTTGTTGAATTTGTTCGTTTTAAGGGAAGCAGGTATATTGAGAAGTGCAAGTAAGAACACAATGAATTGATATTAATTTCTCTTCAGTGCTCTCTCTTATCATCATCATTGATTTTTGTATATGTATTTATTAGATGTACAAGAATGAATTTAATTAATTTCATACAACAGAGAATGCAAGACGTCTCGTGATGATTTTTAGAAAATCAAAATTCATCGATTTATAAAAGAGCTACTATGATAGAATCTGTTTAAAAATAATAGGTGCTAGTAAAAGTTTGATGGAACAATATTTCAGATATCTAGAGCAGAGCTTCTTAAACTATGGGTCGCGACCCCAAATGGGGTCGCGTAGCAAAATTTTGACGACTGTAATGGTAACTCGCAATCATAAATGGGGTCGTGAATGACAAAAATTTAAGAAGCCCTGATCTAGAGGAATAAAAATGGTACCGATTTTCACTCTCTCTAAGCGGTACTAATTTTCTTCTGTAGAAGTTGTAGCCGTCTTAAAATATCCGCCGCTTCGTACTTAATCCTTCCTTATTCTCGCAGGAAGACGGTTTCCCTATCCAGTGGGATACCCATTCACGACATAAACCGTTGACTAAATGACCGGCTCGTCTGGTCCCGCGCTATTATTCCCCGCGCTACATTCGGAAACAAACGACTTCTTGTAGAACTTTTGCCTTCCGGCTCATCCCTTAGGAACTGATACAATTTATGAGAAAGATTTAAACAATATTCAATGTGTTTTTAGTAGTTTCTACTAGAAAAATGTTCCAGACGACTGCAACTCTCGTTTGAAACCTATCTCCATAGAAACAACTGACTTGAGGAAATACAAGCCTAAAACGTCTGGAATTTGTGACGCTTTTTACGATTATTTCGATATTTTTCGATAATCTGACAAAAAAAAATTTTTCAATTTTTCCGAGATTTTTCCAAGGGGTACCCCTTCAATTTCTTCCAAATTTTCGTTTTTGGCCAATAACTCCCAAACCGTTGGACATACGG